ACATATTATATTAAATATTTATTGGTGAATAAATATTTTATCAACTTTGTTGATAATTTATCTTTATCAAGAAATTTAATTGACAATTTTTAGAGAAATCTCTTTCTAACCACACTTTTTTCATTTACAATACTCAAACCTAATACCTTAATTAAGAAATTGAGTTTAATATTACTTATCTCAATAACTTATTGATAAAATAGATGTCATTTTTTGATAATTTAAAAAAACTGTTTTTTATGCTTAAAAAAATGACTTATTGATAAAATGGATCTCAATTTTTATTAGACCATTGATGATTTAAAAAACATGTTTTTTATGCTAAGAAAATTGACAATTGAATTGGTTGACCGCTATGTTTGTATTCTTTTTATAATAAAAAAAGTTGTGGATGAGAATATATACAATTATTGGAATTTTTTCTTCTTTTTTGTAACCGCCAAATCTATGATAATTGCTAGTGTATTGGACTATGAACAAGATTCTAAAAGAGACATTAAGAACTGAGTTTGATACACGATCATAAGTCCGTTTTTTATCCATGCATGAGAATCAAATTCAATAGTTTACAGTAACTCATTCCTTAATCAATTGAGTTAGACTTTTTAAATAATAATAAGTTTTTTTTTTAATCTACTTCATTAAGTTTTACTTAAAACAAAATAATCATGAAATTCGTTTATATCACAAAGAACCTTGAGAGTTGAGAGTAGATGTATTTTTTTTTTTTATAATTATGTTATTGATATAGATAAAAAAAATATTTCATTTTATTGATGATTAATTTTTGTCAAAAAAATTAATTGACTTTTTTTAGTGAGATTTCTCTTCCTAACATCTTTTTCATCCACAACACTCAAATTTAAGGTTTTATTTAAAAAAATCGAGTATAGTATCACTTAGATCAACGACTTGTTGATAAGATGAAGGTTGTTTATGTTTAGAGATGATTTAAAAGCATGTATTTTTATATGCTAAGAAAATTCAAATTTGAATTAATTAACATTTACCTTTGTACCTAAAAAAATTCACAGTTATCTAAATAAAAGAATATCTTTTATTATTGTTATTTATTTTTTAATAATCAGATATCGTAACACTATAAGTTTTTAATTATTTATCTATCCAGTACTTAAGGTGTGTTGTGGGATTCTAAGAGTTGAGAAACTCTCAGGAGTCTAGTGAGTTTTGAGGGTTTCTAGCTAAAGATTTAATTGACCTTGAGAAAAAAAAGTATATAAGGTTTATTTTGAAAACTGGGCCTCAAACTCAACTTTTCATAGACCTTAGAGAGAGAGTAGAGTGAGAAGTTATAGTTGTTGAGTCTTGTTCTTTTCTCTTAAATTCCTAGGAGCACTAGAGCAGTGATTCTTGTTGTTGGTAGTGATTTAGAGTACTTGAAGGTAAGAATCGAAGTGTGTTGGTGTAGAATTCTTGTACTCGAAGCTCAAAGCAATGTTTTTTCCTTTTTTCCTTCTTTTCAAATTTTCAAGTTCTAGAAGCAAAGGAAGCTAGGATGAATTCGTGTTGGGTTTGTTGTGTTACTCAGCTATATGTTGTTTAATTAGAATTAAAATGTGTATAGTTTGATTATATTTCAGATAGTATGGGGAAAGTTTGAGTTTCGGGGTTTTGGTTCATTGGTATGAATTTTGGACAATTTGGTGTCTTTTGTAGTTGCATGTTGTTACTTTGATGTGAAATGAGTTGTTGAGAATGCGTATGTATGAATGAATACAATGCTTGGATTTTCTAGATTTCAAGTGGATTGAAGCAATTTTTGAAGTCTACATTTGCAAATTTTTGATGTCGTGTCGGGCATACCTTCGTGGCGTTGGGCGTAGTTTCAACTAAGGGCCTTTGTCTCATTCACATTAAGTGTAGGACCGGTGGCATCGAGCGTAAAGAGAGAGACTTGTCTTAGGTTGGGATGACGTCAGGCATGGTTTGAATAATATTGGGTGTGAGAGCATTGGAAAGTCTCTGACTTGGTAATGCTGAACCCCAATTGGGTGGTGTCAAGCGTGATCAAGGCAAAGGCTTTATGCCTAAGTGACGTCATGCATAAACGAGGTGACACCGGGCATGAGTCAGGTAGAGTCTCTCTACCTGATATGAGATCGAGTGTGAATTTTGTAATGCTAGATGTGAGGTCCCAAGTGGTTCCCTACCTTAGCCACACTAGGCAAGGGTTGAGTGGCATCGTACGTGGGCAAGGCAAAAAGCTCCCTATCTGAGTGGCATCAAACACGAGGCAGGTTGCGTTGAGCGTGAGTTATGTTATTGATACATGTTGTTTGATGGTTTAGTGACCAGAAATAGAGTAGGTGAGTCTATTGTGTGTTGTAGGATGTATGAGGATGATGAGCATTGATATGTTGTGTATGATTGATATGCTATATTTGAAATGGTTGGGGTGTTGAATAAACATTAACATGGTATACTTATGCAATTGGAATGGTGACAAACATTGATATGCTATGTATGATTGACATGTTATAATTGCATTGTTGGAGTGTGAATAAGCATTAGTATGCTATTATTCAATCAGTCATTGAGCATCTGTATGCTTGTCTTGGATGAGTTGTATAGCATTAGTATGTTAATTGTGATTGGTGTGATTTGATCTCTATATACATTGACATGGGGTAATGTATATAGATGATGTATGTTGAGACGTTAATGCTAAGAATGCCTAAACATTAAAACATGTTGATTGACTTAGGACTAAAGGAGAGAGTGTTGTTTGAAAGTTGAAGATCTCATATAGGGAATATTGTTTTGGCACTCTGGGAGGCAAATTGTTGAAAACCCTCCTTGAGTTGGTGTGAAACTCTTAGAGTGGATTTTGTTGAGTCTCCTCTAGACCCTTAATCAATGTAGAGTAAAATATGAAGTTGAGGGCTACCATCCTAAACTTATTACTAAAAAGTTGTATGGTTCCTTGCGGATAATTAGTAGGCTAATTTCACATGTAACTTGGTAATGCATGCTAAGATCATGGTACGCCTATACCCAATTATACTAATCCTAATGATGAAGCCAGACTTTCCTAGTGTAAGTGGTGATACCCGAGAAATCGAAGGTAGGGATTGATATCCAATTTTATTTGTTGATCTAGTGGGTGCATTGGCATGCGAAAGTAATCAGGTTGATTTAGTAGGGTCAAGCAACTTAGATTGCTCAAGTGTATTAAGAGATCTTCATAGGTAACTGTGTGACAACATATTAGATGTGGTTTTTGCATATGACGTAGTGTGAGTTTGATTATATTCATATGCATGATGAGAATATTTTGTTGTATGGTTTAATACCGGTGAATGTTTGACTTGCATTGGTGTTTACCTCTCAAACGTGGTGATTGTTATATGTTGTAAACCATGTGACATATTTTGATTGGTTTACATGTTGGAGAGTAGTATAGATGTTCTTTCCTATACTTGTATGTTTTTTAAATCTAGTTTATCCTTGTGTGTTTTTCGTGTAATTTAAACTACGATGATCATGATTTTCATGGGAACATGACAAGGTTAGTCGAAGCGGGCTCTTGGAGCAGCTGTGAACCACACTATTAGTGATGTAGTTGATGACTACTATTTTGGATGGTTTGTATAATTGTGCTTGATTGATACTTAGAATTTATAATTTACTTTTATATTACATATTACATGTCCAATTGTTAGTAAATGTATAACTTTAAGTAATAGTAATTTTACTTCTAATTGATGATTTCATGAAGTATAGCAACTAGCAACTATAACGAATTGTTACAAATTTTATGAAAATTTTTTATTGTACATAGTTATAAATAAGATTCCAAAAGAGACATTAAAAGTTTGATACATGATGATAAGCCAGATTTTTGAAATTTAATTTAGTAATTTTCAATAACTCACCATTCAACCAATTGAGCTAAACTTTTTAATAATAATAATAAGTTCGTTTTTTTAATTTACTTTATTGGAATTTTATTTAAAACAAATTATTTATACAATTATACAATAGAAAACCTCGAGAATGGTGGTCGTTTATTATTAGACCGTTGATAATTTAAAAACATTTTTTCTTTTTAGATGTTAAGATTTAAATTTGACCTAGTTGATCGTTATCTATGTAAAAAGAAAAGGTGATAATTATCTAAATTGGAGAATATATCTTATTATTGTGGATTTTTTTTTTCTTTTTTAACTGACAAATCATATGATAATTGTTAGTGCACTGAGTTATGAATCAAGATTATAAGAGAGACATTATAAAATGAATTTGATAAATGATAATAAATGAATTTTTTTTATCTACTAAAATCTATTTAAATAGTTGACAACAACTCATTTTTTAACTTAACGATAAATTATTTTTTAATAATTATCTTATTAATATGATATGTGTTTTATAAATGACTAATTTCTCATAAGACTAATAATTATAAGTTATTTTTTTTATTAATAATGATAAGTTAGTTTAAGACTATATATCTACAAAATATTCATCCAATATATTAAAGTAGAATAATTATAACTTTAATGAGAGCATTTTTAGTTCTTTCTTTCTTTCTTATGAGAGAATTTTCGAAAGGTTTTCATAACATCTTATATTTAACAATACACTATTTTCATCCACTGATGAATAAAATATAGGCCATTTTCATTTTGATTTTAAATTGAAAATAACATTATTTAAAAAAAAGCATCAATAATAATTTTCTCATCTCTATACATAAATTAAAATAAAGTGAATTTTTTATATTTATTTAAAAAAAAAAAAGAAGATGAAAATTGGTTTGGTTAGAAGGAGATAGCGAGAATGGTGAAAATAAGCGAAAAAGGAGAAGCGTGAAGGTAGCAGAGAAGAGAAGGAAGAAGTCAGGCGGCACATAGAATGAAATGTTGCGGCACGTGTCCCCTTCCCCACACCCTTCTCAATCTCCCAGCCCCAGGACATTTCACCGTTACCCTCTCTCCCTATTTTATTTTTATTTTTATTTATTCCTCCTTATTTATTATTATTTATCTATATATATAAATATTATATTCTCTATTCTCTCTCTTTCTCTCTCGCTCGCTACCGCCAACTCGATCGGCATCGGCACCCACTCGAGGGGAAACGCGATTCCCTTTTCCCTTCGCAACAACAAACAAACTCCTTCAGGATTCCAATTCCATCCTAATTACCTATCTTTTATTTTCCCCCAATTTACCCTTCTGCTTCTCCCTTTTAGTCTCTCTTTTTCCCCTTCCCCTTTCAATCCTCACGCTTATCGCTTTACCAGATTATAACAAAACACAAAAAAACTACAACAAGAGAGAGTAGGGATTTCGTTTTCTCATTTTTTTATTCTGTGGATAAATTCCATTCTATTTTACGTCCTCTGATTATATTCTACCTCTTCTATTAGGGAGATTATTGTTAATTGGGTTTTTCGCAAGAAACTCTGTGAGCTTTTTGGAGCGTTGTTTTAGTTTGCCATCCGAAATCGAGGGTTTTCTTGTTAGATCTCTGCTAGTGCCACACTTTTTTTTTTTCTTTTTTTTAGTTTTCGTGTTTTTTTTTTCTTTTCTTCTTGTTCCGGTGTTGGTCTGTTTCTAAGAAGGAAAAGAAGAAAAAAAATCTCCAGCCTTGAAAATAAAAAAAACTAGGGTTTGTCGATTTGTCTAGGGTTGTGTACATAGATAGGTAGATAGATACATGCGATGGCGTTGAATTTCTCGCATCGACCGATTTTTTCTGAGGATAATTTGGTTTCGCCGATGAGGATGGGAATTCCGGAGAAGAGTGGCGTTGAGAATTGCTTTGATTACGGAAGAGATAGGGGGGGTGGGGGTGGTGCGAGTCATGATGACATTCTCGATCTTTTGCCTTCGGATCCCTTCGGCATGGACATCAGCACCACCTTCACGGCCATCACTGGGTGGCTCGAGGATTTGGAGGTTGACTATGGTGGGTACCGAAGGGATGAGCTTGGGGCGAGTGATGACAATTACCAGCTTTTTGCTGGGTTGAATTTCATTTGGAACAATGCTATGAGGTTCCATGCTTGTGTTGAGGAGAATAGGGGGTTTGGGGAGTGTTGTTCTGTTAGGGGTGATGGGGCTGCTGCATCTAGCAATTTTGGGTTTCGATCTGCTGGTGATGGTGACCTGTCGGGTTTGCCTGCTGCTGCTAATGTGTCGGGTGATGTTGAGACTGAGAGCGGGGATGATGGTGGGGAAGGGTGTGAGGAGCAAGCTCCTCACCTGGCCTTGAGTTTTTCTCTTGGCTATCTGGGTTTGTCTGATCTTCTTGCTGTTGAAAGAGCGTGCAAATCGCTGCATTCCACGGTTCGCGGTGACCCGCTCTTGTGGAGGACTATCCATGTGGATCAGCCTTTGAATGAGAGGATCACTGATGATGTTCTTTTGCAATTGACCAATAGGGCTGAAGGTAATCTTCAGTGCCTGAGCCTTGTCGAGTGTACCAGGATCACTGATGATGGTTTGAAGCGGGTTCTTGAAGGCAATCCCAAGTTAATCAAGGTACGCTTGCATTAGGTTATTGTGATTGTGGATTTCAAATTGGAATTTAGCTGCTTCTGAAGCGTGTGCATGTGGTTTTTTGTGTAATTGATTTGGATCATGCTGGTGCTGTTGTTTTATTTTTCATTAAACGGTGAATTGGTGATGCAGTTTATTTTCAACATCTTGAGTTGACGCTTTATTTTTATTTAGGTCATGCTCAAAAGTGTCTTTTGGGCATTAGTTAAGGAATCAAAAGGAAATTTTTTTTACGAGTATTATTAATGTACCTCCAATGTCTTTTCCAATGCACTTTTAATGTGGTTCCCAATAATAATTTTATATTTGTTGAAATTTTAACCCTTAGGGCACTTGTTAGCATGTCTGTATATTTGCATGGAACATTTGGCCCTTTGCACCATCGCAAGTATTTACTTTATGGGTTACTTTATTTGCCTTCCGTTACAGAAATCAATTCAGGCTGCTTTTTTATATAGCTCTAGTGCACATACATCAGTTGTTGGTGGTGGCATATATGGATGTTGGTGTACGAAATACTTATATTCTGTCCAAAATAATTAAGCAGTGTATCCTTGACTACAACTTTATATTTGTGGTTGTAATTTGCCGACCCAACTGTCCTACTATCCTATTGCTTTGCTATTTATGATCCATTCTTGCATTGGTAGAAAATGTGCTATTCTCCATTGTGTTTTGTTGGAAGAAAACCTCACAATTGAAGGTAAGACATGAAAGAAAAATGGATCATAGATCTAGGTGAGGCAATTAATTGTTCAATTGTCAGCTTTGATGCATTGCAAACTTCTTTTACTTTTTAGATGCATTCGAGTTAAATAATTCTTGTAAATGTTACAGATCTTGGTTCCTTAAACTAAAAATTTGTTGATCCTTTTTATTGTTTCATATATCATGTGAGTTGGTGTTGGTATACTTGATAATCCCTGATTTTTGTCAACTGTTATTGCATTAACTTTTCTGAGCATTGAATACTTGGAAGCTCAGCCAAGGTTCAAAGTTCTTTCCCTTCCATTTTTAAAAAGTTTGTTCATAAAATTATGCTGTTAAACTGTTCCTGACTTTGTTGATGTCTTTTATTGTTTCATGTATCATGTTTTTTTAGTGTTTCCATGCTTTTGATAATCCCTGGCTTTGTTGCCTGTTATTGCATTAACGTATATGAGGATTGAATACTTGAGAGCTCAGCCAACGTTCGAAGTTTTTTCACTTCCATATTTTTACAAGTAACTAAGAAATTTTTTTTTTCTTCATAAAACTGTACAGTTGAGTGTTCCTGGATGTACAAGACTCAGTATTGACGGCATTGTGGGTATTTTAAAAGCTTTCAACTCTGTGGATACCCAAGGGGTGAAGCATTTACACATAGGCGGTCTTTATGGTGTTACTCAGAAGCATTTTGAAGAGCTGAAACACTTGTTGGGTGCTGATAGCCAGCTGCGGCAGCACTCTCACAAACCACACTATTATCGCAGGGGAAACTTTTATCTACCTTGTAATGATAATCGAACCATAGATATCGAAGTTTGCCCACGATGTCAGAATTTGAGGCTTGTTTATGATTGTCCAGCAGAGAGTTGTCAGAGGGTGGAACACACTACTCAGGTGTGTAGGGCATGCACTCTATGCATACCCCGATGTAGTCAATGTGGCCGTTGCATCAATGACAGTGAGTATGAGGAAACATTTTGTTTGGAGTTGCTTTGCTCTTCTTGTTCTAAGCAGCTTGTCAAGTGTTCAGAAAGTACTGATAGAAAGGTTGGGCCAGCTAAGTCAGTTGTTATTCATGAACAAAACTAGGCTTTTGTCAAATATCTTTTGGATGTCTTTATGATGAAAAATTCCCCTATGAAGTGATATGAATCGGTGGGTGCTGTTGGAGTTGTGTGGCATTCTGTGTATTTGGTCTCAGAGGTGTGATGCATGCGGTGGGGATTTTCCTGCTGTAGGGAAGGTGGAAAATGATTTCATTGTAACATGCAGGAACCAAATCGATTACCATGGTTATTGATCATCTACTTGCATGGTTGCAATGGATTTTTCATTATGTGGAACACGATGGCTGCAGTTGGAGTGTTGATTTGCAACGTTGAATTCAGATATCATTTGTGACGACTCTTGCATAACCAGTTTGAACTCTGATCTTTTAGACTTATGGTTATTTCATTATCTGCATTGATAAATTCACTCTTGCCAGGTTGTGGTGTATGCACCCTGTTTATTTTTTGCCATTCTTGGAGGAGAAAAAAAATAAAAGTGGTATTACGATGTCTTTAAATTTTTGCTTATGTCTCTGTCAGCTTTAGCTTGTATCAAGTGAAATTCATTTATGGTGGACTTGGACCTTAAAATGAATACTATTTATTTTTTATGTACTCGAGCATTTTCGGATTATTTTCCGTTTTCCCCCCTTGCCTATTGAGGAGGTTTCTTGTTATGTTGGCCTCTTTTGTGTCTCGGAAAAGTCGTTGAATGATTTGATTATAGAAGTCTAACCTGATGGGTAATAGTGTTGGACACGTATTCTTATGCAGAATGTGTCGACACGTATAATGTGACTCTAGAATTTCTCTTAAAAGTACAGACTTCATCTTGAAATTGAAAATTATCCTGATTTATTCTTCTGAGTAAGGAGGGGATTCAAAAGTATACAGTGCATAATAATGGCGTATAAAATATGCAACATTTCGTGATACATTAAAGTAATCTTGTCCACCCCCAGTAAACAAAAATCACATCTCTAAATTTTTTTTATTTTTTGGCTTGAAGTGAACTTCATTAAAATTAACGGAACAGAAAACAAAAGTATCTTGTTGCACCAGAACAAAGGTGTCTTGATAGCCACCTATGTTGGCCATTTAGCGTATACTGGCCTGTGGCCTCCTAAGAAAGTTATTATTAGCTGCTCGTTTAAATTTAGGAAGATGTTACTATTGTTCAAGCATATGAAAACTTGGAGAGCACGAGATTACACTCTTACAAAGCTAGTAATGGAGAAACTAAGGCATAGCATAAATGAAAAGGTGTGATCAAAGTCATTCAAAAACCAGAAGTTACGTTTTTGTTGTCTTGTCTTGGTTGCAAGATTTTGGGAGGATTACTATGAGTGTGTGTTTGCTTTCACGTTCAAACCACCTAAAACTCCACTTGGGTTCAAAAATGAACTCAAATTTCGGTCGCAAACTAAGTTTTGATTCCTTACGCGTAGAAGCAACAATTTATTATTTATGCATTGACAAAAAGGTTGCCTATATTAACAAACATACACCTATAATTTAGTATTGTATCATCACATTCATTTTATTATAAAACTTATACCCTTTTCAATAATTACATATTTTAAAGTGATTTTTTATTTATATGATCTAAATATAAAGTTCATTTTACTAAAATCACGTTTGAGATAAAAGCATTTAAATGCAAATCATGTTATTCCAAATTCAGTTCTTACCAAAAACAAGTCTGTAAAATTTAGTTGGTTCACTCCCGAGTTTTAAAATTTTAATCCAAACAAGTAGTATATTAAGTGACACCAACAAACGGTCAAAAGAAATAATGACAGATAGAAATACAAGACCTTGTTTATTTATCCACTTACCCCAACTTGCTGTGAAATTTAACGCATGGGCTGTAGTAAATTTTGGCAACAAACTAAAGAAAGTGAGGGTAGGACTTATGTCAAGGTCATTTTAGCATGGGGTAGTTTAAACACTTCCCTAAATTATTGGCTTCTTCCAACTTTCAAGAATTATACATTGATCCCAAAAACTCTAAATTGCATCTGGGTAATCTCTATAAGAATGGAATGTAAGCTCAGGAACGTTCTCCAACAGATACAAAAGTAATTGTTCCAATTGCTGTAGTAGTTATTTTTGCCTCCACACAAGCGATAACCAAGGCTGATCCATGATATGATGTCTATTTTTATCTATGGGAATAGAACTTGAACCCAGAGTGGTTACAACAACTCACATTCTGTTTAACTTAGGCTAGACTCATATCGATGATATGATTAGTGTGAGATATCTAACTTTTTTTTTTTTGGTTGCTGAGAGGCCTATGGCCAAAATTATAAGAAATGATACATAAGGGGATTGTTGACCCCCAAATAAGAAAAACAAAAAACTAGTTTTAGATAATTGTATTTACATCTTTTATACTCTTTTCTAAATAGTTACTATCGAATTATTTATATCTTGTTTCAGAAAGTACAGTAGGACTTGTGTAGTAAATATTGTCTTTATCTGATTCTTGAAGAGGATCTGAGCTGTTATGCCCTTGACCAGCCCAGGATAGCCCTCCAGAATCCAAATTTTATTTTAGTAAAAAATTGGATAAAGGACACTAGGATTATTTTTAACTGTCAATGACCTTTTCTTATTTAACTTTCGTAGGATGTGTATGAATATGAAAATTATAATTAATGCTAAATCACAGCTCCCACATAGGACTAGCCTCAGTTCTTTTTTTATCAGGAAAAAATATAATGTTCTCATAAATATTTAAATATTACTCATGATTTTAATTTTTAAATTTAAAAGTATAAATATACAAATAGTTAAACACAATTACATAAAAAATGACTAAATATATTATATATTCATACAAGACTATGAGTTATCATTAGAAATTATTATATAATGAAAAAATGAATCAATTATGGTGACATATTACAAAGATATTTGCGATAAAGAGGTGAAGATTTATAATTTAATTTTAAAATTTTAATAGAATAAGATAGGCCATGATTTAAAAAAATAGAAAGAAAATCAAATAATTAAAGATAAAGAAAAAATATTATAAAAAAAAAACAACTCTTATTTATTATTTAATGCTAACACATATAGAAGTTCACACAACAAAAGAAATAAATCAATAACATATCACAATTTTTTTTACACCTAATATTATCAATTTATTTTCTTAAAATTATTGATAAATTTTCTTTTACTTGTGAAAAAATTGAGTATTGATTACTTCTCTATAATTATTTTATTTCCTCTAATAATTTTTTAATTATTTAATTATATCTTTAATATTATATAAACTAAATAATATTTTTTAATGTTCCAATGACAATAGAACCCTGAATGATCATCCCATCAACTCATGCTCAGAATCTTTCACATTATAATTATATATTATAAATTGATTTTGCTTTAAATAGATTGGTCCTTATTTTTAGTCATATGGCTGTGGTTGTGGATGGAGGATTTGTGTTTCCTTGCTCTAGTGGACATGCATGGCAAATTAATCTTTTCACCCGCATGTCTTGTGTGGCTCATAATACCAACCTGAACAAGTTTCTTTGTCAAAATTGGTTTAACAAATGATGGGTTTCTGCTTCTTTCCTCGATGTACCAAGGCACGTCTGTGTTTTTCTCAAAGAATTTTTTTTTTAAATTTTAATATTTTTAAAGACTTTGTAATAATTACATCATTTTTCAAAAAGGAACAAATTTTCCCAAAAGCTAAAAAACAGACCCTCTAAAAAAACAAGTATATCATGAAAGCTTCATCCTAGCACATTTTAAAAGCACTGTGGTGTTATACAAATGTTAGATTTGAAGACAATAAGGCGCCAAAGGCAGTACTTATAATTTCTCCATACGGCTTCTGCGCCAAATCCGTCTTAAACAGCAACTAACACATGAATGGACACAATAATGTTACGGATACAAAATGAATCAGTTGCTTAACCAACTACTTGTAAACTCCAATCAGTTATAAAATTCAACATGCCCTGCAAGTTCTCTGCATAACAGCTTTGTTTCACTAGCTAACTTTATGCTTTTAGCAATTGCTAATCCTGTCTTGTTGTGTGTAGATGTAGGCTTATACGATTTCACCTGTTCTTCGCATCCCAATATCAGAGCTTCCCTAGCTGGAACCACATTTTCCCACCAAAACTCACGTAGAATTTCATGTATCAAGTTCCAATACTCACGTTCCCTAAGCACACGAAATATAGTGCTTCCATTTGGCGTCCAACAATACAAATCAACCCATTCACAATCCATTATCTCCATTTGGCCCTGCACTTGAGGCATGTAATAGAAAGGCATGGTTGACCAAGGCAAGCCAGCCTCAGGTTTGCCCTTGTTATAAGGACACTTGACTTCCAATACCCCACCTTGTGGGAAGCACCCAAGAACACCGTCAGGGGAGGCACCAAGCCAGTCATAAGACTGCTTCGAATGAACTGCAAACCCCATCGTGCTCACCTCATGGCCGGTGATCTTTTTATATTGTTCTATAGCTACCGCTTCATTGAGTGTTCCCCATGCCATGGCAGTATTTTTAGAAGCTTCCACAATTTGTGCCTCCGATGCAAATACCTTCTCGTTCCACAACTCAAGACGACGGCTCCCTTTCCAAAAACCCAATGCAGTACTGAACGTGCTGGTAGTAAGCTTGTCCTTGCGAAGGGCAAACCATTCCTCTGACCGTTGGGGGACATCAGCCAGTGAAACGTTGGAAGCAAATACTTGAAATGAAGGGGACTGAAGAATGACAGGGTCATTTAAAGAAATCAATGGTGAGGCACATATGGAAAGATTTCTCAAAAGCCCTTTTGCATACTTTCTTCTGATAGACGGTGATACAAATGCTGTATGGAGAATGCCACTGAATCTAATCATGCCAGAAAAGGTTGTTGTTGAGATTGTCATCTCCATTCAACCCAAATCTCTCAAGATGAAGTACCTAAGAAATTACGCAACAATAGCCAACGAGTAAGCAAAGCATGTCAAAAGATAATATATAAAAGCTTAATCAAAGAAAATTGAATTATACTTCTTCCACAAGGTAAAAATTAAAATCAACTTATTTATCTCAATTTTTGAATAAGTTAGATGAGAGAAATTCTAAAAAAGTTGAAGTGCATAATTTGATTTTAACTCACTAGGGGTATGTTTGAATAAACTCTTTCAAAAACACTTGTAGGAGAAAAAAAATAAGAAAAAAAGTGAAAACAAGTTTCTCTATAAGGTAAAACTAGCTTATATATGAATTAAGAATAAGATTTTAAAGAAGTTAATAGAAGAGAACCTTTACAAATTGGTTTATGCACGAGTAAATTTTACCTCAAGAAGAAACTTATTTCATTTTGTCTTCCTAATATTCTCTCCTGGTAGTGCTTTTGGTGAAGTTAACCAAACCAAGCCCCAAAAAAGTTTGGTTGATTTTATCTTATTTCTTCTCCTATACATCAAAACAAGGCCTGAACTAAAAGAGGAACTTGAATTTGGAGGAACAGCAACATGGCACTGCATAAACTACGGGAACATTTAAACACTAGCTGCTGTTCTCATATCCTTACTCACAACACAAAAATAAAAATACCAAAGTTTACCGCATAAAATATGCATTTGCCTCTGCTCAACTAAATGCACTATGTTTTTCCAACCATTAACAACAACGTGCTCGCAAAGGTTCTCCTCGTAATCGAAGTATAGAACAAAAATATTGTTCCGATTCACAATACAGCAAGTAAAGTATAATTACATCCTCTAACCTGACCTACCTAAACCGACCCACCCAAATCTCCTAATTCACTTGATATCCTCAAACATCGAAAGCAGAAACATGATAAAATTCGACTTCACAACTGAATCTAGAAAGAAGAATCAGATAATTGAAAACATATAAATAATAATAATAAATAAATAAATAAATAATCAGAGATGGAACGAACCATAACGATAATAATAAAAACCATATTTTTCGTTTGTAAACAGACGCAGGAACAAAATGAAAGCATATTTTGGTGGATGGTAACGTGAATGGAATGTAAAAGAAGAGAACCTGCGATTAATCCAAGTTTAGTTGAGTTGAGTTCATTTCAGCTGACAGGGATAACAATAGCTATTTGCGAAAAACTTAAAAGAATCAAGTCCCAAGCCAAGAGTTAAACGATACGGTACAAATAGGAATACGTGTTCTCTTTCTTAGCTTGGGCCCTAATAAAAGCCTGTTTTCCGTTGGTCTGGGCCCATTTGGGTCATGCCCACAGGCCACCGCTACAAGCTTTAGTTCCATACCAAAAAGTAAAATCACATTTAATTAAAGTTTAAATTTAGAATTTTTTTTAAGTTTTATGCCTATAATTAACTGTTTTTAGACAAGTGCTAATAATACAGTTTTCTATCGATTAGAATTTTTGAAAACTATAAAATCAAGACAAAAAAACTCGTTAAATAATAAATAAAACTATAAAAAAAAGTTAAAGGATTTTTAAATTAGTTGATAATGTAATAAATTTTAGATTTTAAGATATTATATAATTTTTTTATATTTTCAACTAATAAAAAATATTACTAATGTAATTTTTAATACAATTATTATAAAAATTAATAAAGTTATCGTATAAAACTGTTCAATCAAATTTTATAGTGATAGTTCATGTCTATTAACTCATAATAATAATCAATAAATAAATAAATAAGACTTTCTTAAAGTTATTTATGGTGATCTATGTTATCCTGTAGGCAGAACTTTGACATAATATTACACGAGAAAAAATACCTGCTATATAGCAGGTTGCAACCGGTTATAATATTACACGAGTAGTTTTTCTTAAGTCAAATAAATTAGACGTTAACAATATTAATAATTTAAATACTAGTTAATATATATATATATATAATTATTATAAATTTTTTAAACAACTAGTAAATAAATGTTATATATAAATTACACTTTTTTATTTTTTTAATTTGATTTGATCATTTATTTCTAAAATATTTAATTTAGTCTTTTATATTGATAAAGTGGTTTAAAATAGTTCTTTACATTAAGAACTTAACGGCAAATGCATTAAAAATTTTGAATCGACCATATTGGTATACTTTTTATATTAAAAGTGACCAAATTGAATCTTATTGAAAATATAAAGAACCAAACTAAATTACTTAAAAATATAAAAGGTCAAATTAAATTTCCACAAAACTAGTTGTATCAACTCAAATCCCAGCCCACCTTACTCAAGCCAAATACAATAGGTAACCATCAAAGAGAATCAAACCGACAAGATAATGAAGCTTCCGATATGAGCTTTTGTAGACTAATTTTAGTTAGCTACTGGAAAGTAAATTTGTCTAACTTTTGTGTAAAACTAATTTTAATTACCTATTAGAACTTGTAGTTTGTTATGCAAGTAGATTTAAGGTAGCTATTTATTTTTTGTTGTAGTAGCTTTAATAAATTAAACTTCATATCTGTTACATAGTTGTTATCATGTACAATTAACTTTATAAAGTTATTATGTGAATGCACTTATTTCTTTATTTATAATTGATTTCAAGTTTCTTTAAAGTTATTTGGTTGTATTGGAATATAATCTATGTTATCTTTAAGATGTTTCAATTTCAATATCACTTTATGAAATTGTGCAAATATATAGTTCTATCTTTGATATTTATCTTTACAAAATACAATTGATTTGGTCCTTTATGTTTTAAGCAAGTTCAACTAGATTCATCATTGTATCAAATATTATGTAAACATGTACAATTAATGGGTGAATTGAATTTTTTTTTTATGTTAACTATAACATTGTAAGTTTTTTCTATTTATGATTGATTTTATTAAATTATGTGTTTGTACTAACTTGGTGTTTATTGTTAAGAAACTTTGAGAATTTAAAGATTTTTGTGAGTTTTAGACGTTTAGGAAGTTTCTTTGAACAGAGGTCCAATTTGACCCTAGGAAGAGGTACATAAGATTTCTTTTAAAAATTGAGCTTCATAAGTTCATCCTTAAGAATCCTAGGATAAACTAGAGAGAAGAGCATTGCAATTTTGATGCTCTTCTTTTTCTTTCTAACCTCCCAAGAGTTGTAGAAGATTTTTGTTGAACATACAGTGGGTGATTCAAAGTTGTTGGTGCTAAGAATCAATGTTGGTGAGGAACTTTAGAGTTATTTAGAGCTCATTCCTCTTCTTCTTCCTTTTTTCTCGGTTCTCTTTGATTTTCAAAATAAGAAAAGCTAGAATTGAGTTCTTGTTGAATTGTTGAGTTGTGTGCATGATATGGTTGATAAATGGTTGTAGTTGTGTGGTGAATTGCATGATTTTGATGGTGATTATTGAACTTGAGTGTCTTTGGTTTTTCAAGAGAAAAACTTGGTGATTTTGAGAAAATTGTTATTACATGTGTTGTTTATCGCTTGGAACGAGTTGTTGATGATGAATATATGTAAATGATTGTGTTGCATGTTGGGAATTTCTAGATTTCAAGTGATTTTGAGCCAATTTGTGAATTTGCAAAGTGTAAAATTCACTATTGTGTCGAGTGCGCCTCCATGGCGTTGGACAAGACTCAAATCAAAAGTCTTTTGTCTCATTACGTTGGACGCAAAATTGGTGGCTTCAGGCATGAGGAGAGAGAAAAACACCTGACCTGATCATATCGAACATATATAACTTGAATGACATTAGATGTAAGATGAGAGAATTGTCTTTCAATCGATGACATCAAGACCTAGATTATGTGGAGCCCAACCTGACCAAGACAAAACTCTCTGCTTGAGTGACGTTAAGTATCAATGAAGTGACACTGGATGTGAAAAGAGAGAATCATCTATGCCTAAAATGATGTCGAGCTACGCTAAACATGATAGACCCAAGGATTCCTTGACCTCATCTACGTCGAGCGCGAGTTGAATGATATCAGATGTGAACAAGATAGATAATTCATTATCTCAATAACTAAAAAGTCTAACTTTTATATATATATATATATATATATATATATATATCATATTTTTAGTAAGTCTAACTTTTATTAAAATGACCATTTTGAGTTATTTATCTTGATAACATGTATGTACATTTAATACAAATCTTATTAATATATATTATTACATTATCAAAATGAAACTGTGATTCTATTAAGATAACAACACATGTACTTAAGTTTTGTTTTTAAATTAATTTTATATTTTAAGTCATGTAAATTTAATCAATTTAAGCAATAAAAAGTTTTGCACTATTTTTAAAATAAATAAAAAAATCTGACATACAGACATTTTTCAATAATTATAAATAATAGTATATTGATAATAATGCTTGCCTAATAACTTATTTAAAATAATTAATAACTTTACTTAATATAAAAAAAAAAAAAAAAAAAAAAAAAAAAAAAAAAAGACAAAGTCGAACTGTAGCAAGTCAATTTCTGTTTTTAATTTTTTGGAATTTAGCTGGTCAAGTTTAGAATTTATAAAGAATAGACTGAGGGACTATTAAAATCGATCCAATCCTCTCATTCTGTCGACATTATGACTTCATTGCATATACTAGTCACCTCGAATGGACCATTTTACTGCTTCTCATTTTTCCTAGGAGTTCACAAACCCAAACCGAATAAGACACGATTAGTTATGGCTTTGGATTCTACTACTATTGTCTACTCTAATTAACAATTATGCGTCGCCTTGACGTCTTTCTCTTCCATCACATACCTGAATTACCCATCCAACTCCATGACACAAGAAAAAAACATTCATACCCACATATATTGAATTGAAAATAATAAATAATTAAATCAATCAAATTCACACCCACGTAAGAACTGGAATAGGGATCTTAATAATAAATCAAATAATTCAAATCCTTAATAAGCCATATACAATGTATTTGATAATTTTTCATCAACAATAATAAAATAAAAATATTATATAATCACTAATAAATGAATTATAAATAAAATATTATAAATCAATATTAATAAGTAATTATTTTTACTGCATTTAATTTCCATCTGGTAATTACTTTTGTTACTTCATACACGTCTTTGACTAAATCTGTATTTAATGTATTATTTAGTTCTTTAATTTGTACTTTAATTATGAAGTGCTTATCTTTGAATCAATTTATTTCTTCTATATTCTACCCTAATGACGCTTCTGCTAATGCGTCCTTTATACCTCTTAATTCCTAAAGATGAATATTCTTGAAAATCGAAAATTATTCTTACTAATCATAGAGCTCAAACTTCCAACAAAATGAAAAACTTGTTTGAGGCAAAACTAATTGGTTTTTCCATTTTCTTCTTTCATTTTAAAATTAAAAAGATACATGCTTGGTAAATTTCAGTCAAAAAACATGAAACCATTATTTCCAAAACTGGGCCACTCAATGCATAAGGACAATATTGTTGAAATATTGAACACATTGGTTTATATTTTCTTGTCATTATTTTAGACACCTATATATCTTTTGCATCTCTATCTTTCCAACTTCCATAACAAAGATTTTTCACGATCTTGGAAAGCAAAGTCGATAGGTAGCACTTGAGTCTTAAGTCCCCATTAATTTTATATTGTTTCTTATATATTAATTAGTCCTTTACAAGTTGTTTTGACACGACAATACGAACCATGGTCGTGACAACTATAGTTGGCAATGGACACTTCTCCCCCCAATAACCAATGACAATAAGAATAAGATGGAATCCTGTTCTCTAAGGTCCATCCTTCCACATTGATGGGGCTGTGTATAACCAATTCCAAATGCATCTGCATCGACTTTTCTTATTTGATTCTATTTGTACCACTTTTATTAAAATTATGATTATGTACTTATCCCCCTTGGATAATATTATGAGACTTTTTGCCAATCTCATGTAAATAATTTGATATTATGTAAATAATTTTTTTAGTAAATGTCAACACATTAATGAAATAAAACTTTAATTTTCATCAGAGAACAAAATCAATAATAAGTGTATCTAAGATTTTTTTTTCTTTGTTAAACTATATTTGAAGTGTAGTGCATCTAAGATTTCTTTTTCTAAACTATATTTGAAGGTAGATGATTAATAACAATGCAAGCATGTTTTCAATAGATTTATTTTTGAAATCGTAGTTCTATTTTTTTTTACTAAAATAAT